AAGGAAATTACAAAACCCTGTACTAAGACTTGCATTGGTTTTACATGGTAAAGCTGGTATAAGTAAATAGTAGTAAAACTTTGGGGAACAACTTGGACGACAGAAAAAAACCTACAATTTAGTCTTCGCGTCTTGATTTATGTCCTGAAACCTTCACAAAAAGAAGTGTCAGGTCATAAAAAATGTGGATTGATTGTAGTTGTTTACATGTAGCAACCCTGTATCGTATAAATATAATTAACAACGAGCTATCTTCGTGTACGATTGATCGCGCGGCTTCAAACTATTAATGGTGTCACGTTTCCGATTTACGCAGCCATTAAATACGTCATATTATAGTAATGTGGAAAATGTAACTTTATGTGATTATTTTCTAGAATAAGAATGTTGAAATACTGCTGTACAGAAACCTACCTAGACCTTGGTCATATAGACAGAAAGTATGTTGGTAATGGAGCGAATGTGGATGGATAGGTAAACCTGAAATTACAGGCACATCACCTTAAGTCTTAGGGTGACGAGCGCACTGGCAATGCCCCTTAGATCTTTGTAATTTAAAGCTCTTATTGGCACTGCAAATATTATGGACTTGTGTGTCGTTTGCCACAAGAGAAGGCACGACTTGTTCGCCCCGTCACTTGGTATTACAAAAAAAAAATTAAGATGTAAAATTTATCCGTATCTTTAAAAGCTTTTAGATAAAATGTCTTTCTTTAGAAAAAACAAACATATAGTATACAAGTAAGAGATATTTTGTATTTGTATAGACAACAATGTTAAAATAGTGCTTGCAGAAACGTATGTTTTCCGCAGATGTAAAATAGTACAATTTCAGCAAATCACCACTGTGTAGTAAGAGAACGTTGCAGTATGAAAGATGATGTACTGACCAGGATAAAGATAAGTTTCGATGGTCACGTAGAAAGAATGTGTTAGTAGATTGATGGCATAAATTTATGGAGCGAATGTGAATGGATAGGTAGACCTCGGCGTACATATCTCGATCAGATTAGGGATGTCTTTAAAAAGACCGGATTAAACGTACCATGTATGGAGAGACTGATGGAAGGAAGTTTGTCGGGAACGTAGCAGGTGGTCACCGCCTAAACCCCCAGTGGCAGAAAGGCGTGATGATAGGCACAACAGTCGTACATATTTAATCGTTTCTTGTGCTCGAAGTGTTAGACTTGATGTGTTTGTTGTACTCAAAGTGTAAAATTAGATGGGAATTTTCAGGCTTGCTGCTAAGTATAAAAAATGTCCGACATCATATCCCCACATCCCACCACTGTTTTATAGAGCGATACTTTTAATAACCCAGCGTAAATCCATCAAATAAACAGACGACACAATTATATCACGTCATTACTACTTACACTTACACGATAAATAATGAAGATCAATACATCAAACCAACAGAACTCACAATCAATTTTTTTCACTACCGTCCGCACAATACAAAAGCCGATAACAATTTGTTAGCATCTCAATCTTTTAACTTCTTTGTAAAGCTATTTATTTAAAATACATTTAAACAAATAGCTTTATAACGTAAAATAATAAGCCTCTAAGTCATTAATTCTTTATACAAAGAATGTGTAGCTACAGAGACTTTATATTATCAAATCGCAGCCAGGGAAGCTGCCTTGCCATCTACACAAATTATAAATCTATGAAGGGAATTACTTGGCCGTTCCTCGACTGATATGCATGAAATTTGAAACTAATGTAACAAATACAATTCTACAGATTGTGACGAAACCAAAATTTTCAATTTCATTTACGTCTTTAGATAATTGAGGTTAAAGGTCACTATGTAAGTCTACGGATAAATATTCAATTATCATTTTTTTTATTCGACAAATAAGTCGTGCAGCTGGTGATAAGCGACATGCTTATCCGTGACAGATAATAAAAATAAATAAATATAAACCAACATAACATACGTTGCTCTGATCCCATTTTTGATTCCCAATCATTGATGATTCCCGGGCCGGGTGAAATATTTATATGGCCTATATTTTTTCTCTCGTGAGTTTGGGTGTAATTTCTGGTTTTCTATGTGTGTCCATGGCACCCACAACACAATGTTTTCCCTAGTGCGGGGCTATGAGTGTGTACGTTATTATTATTATTATCCCAAAGGGAGTAACTAACGCACTTGTGTTATGGAAGCCAGAAACAACGACGGTACTACAAACACCCAGACCCGACACAAAATAGAAAAGTTAGTTTTTCTACATTGAAGTTGCCGAAACTCGAACCCGGGATCTTAGAAATGGCGACACCATGAAAACCGGTGTGTAAGCCACTCGACCACGGAGGTTGTGTTGCACTACCAGTCCAGATCCAGAGTTTTAAGTCGAAAAGATCTGACGGGCACTGCCACTGCGCCCGTCACCCTGCGACATAAGTGTGTCAAGTAAAATGTGCTTGTAATATCACCAACACCTTTCACCCTTCTAAACCGGAACGCAGTAATGTGAGTATTACTGCATGACGGCAGAAATAGGTAAGGTGGCAGTACTTCCTTGGACTCTTTCACAAGGAGTTCTACTTCTACCAAGATTTCAAATTATTGAGGGTAAGGTCATTATGTCTTTGTAAATGTACGGAATAATATTTAATTGTAAAATATACGAAAGAAAAAATATACATGGGCACGCATAAGTGCAAAAAGCAGTGTTTATGGGTTTTATTAACGAAACAAATATACCGACTCCTCTTGTGTAATCTACCGTAAGCCACGTAAAAAAGTGAATTTTTTTTTACTAATATTTATTTATTTCATTAATCACTCTATTTTTATCTGAGTTTATTTATTATACTAAGCAGTGTAATTATTTCAATACGTCAAGAATCGACGGTATTATGCTCGTTTTAATTCTTTCAATATGTTAAAACCATTCTCCAGTAAAGTTGAGGATTTGGGTTTACGACTCTTTACGTAGGAGGGATCGGTATAGAGCTAACGTAGAAAGGCATTGTTGGAAGTGGACGGCATCGAAAAACATTCTCTGATCAAATTAAGAGTGTTCTCAAAAAGGCTGATGGAAGAATAAGAGTGATAAATAAGAGGGCCTATATGAAAAGCCTGAATATAAGTGAAGCAAGAGAGGTTTGTCAGGATCGAGCAAATAATATAATAAAGGCGATCGATAGTCCCTGCCTACCATAATGAGACTGACAAAAAAAATATAACAAAGACTGCTACGTTTCGGTAGGGAATTCTGCCAAGTAATGTTTTAATTTTTTGACCTACCACAATCGAAAAGTTCTTGTAGCAATCAGATAAGTTGTAGCATAACATACCTAGTTACTAAACTACATACTTGTACATATTTTGGAATGAAGTCTCAAATTTTCAGTAATAAGTCAGCTTTGGGACTTGCATTGTGTTTTGCACAATTGAAATGTAAATTTCTTAGTGTCAGTCTGTAATTTATTATTTTATATGGATGTCACCTAATACAATGTTATTACGCGATGTCCCCTATTGTTAATACGAGTAATACGCTAGTTTTGAGACTTCGTTGTTAGAAGTTAGTGTTACATTATTATATAATTCTTCCGTTGGGTGTGATATTACGAAAACTTTCATTATGTTATGCAATTTTCAATCCTACGTCTATGAAATTTGCACGAAATTGTCACTTTGCTACCAACTTACGTTGGTTATTGGAAAAAATTGTAACTAATACATTGGTCAGAAGTGCACAACCTTTATTATCGGCAAATATAACTTGGTATCTTATGAAATATGAGATGCCGTACAATAGTGTGTCAATTTTGATTGGTGTGTCCGTATTGTGGGACGATTTATATTGTTCAACATTATTAAGTTTGATACCAGAAAGTCATCACAATGGCAATGATTGTTTATATTACACTCAATCAAAAAGAAATTGGTAACGATTTATTTAACCCGTCACACATCTTAGAGACATATTGGTATCTGTATCTATTTTGGTAAATAATTTAATTTTTTAATAAATTTTCAATTTTGTATAAATTCCATTTTTTTTTATAAATGGTGGATGAAGACACAGCTACGCGTTAGAAACACAATATTTACCTAAACCTCAATACACACAGAAATCCGGAATGTCTAAAATAAAAAAAGAAATATAATAAATAGGTAGTCATATTTTTTTACACAGTTATACATCAAAAACACAGAAGGAAAACATTATAATAGTACAAGGTATAATCCACTCTATATGTGTTTCTTAAATGACTAAAACAGTTTCACTACAGCAAGCGTAATGAGACGTTTTGTAACGTCATGTTTCAAGAAGCTGAGTGGAATCCATTTTGTTAACGTTATAAATATTTCATTTAATTTTGTATCCTGTTTAATTGTAATATATTTTATCATAATTAAGTTTATTTTATATTTGCAATCATTTTGTAACCAGACTTGTATACTAAAGTTTTCGAACAAGTTATTTTTCTTTCTGTCTCATTGACTTACTAAATTAAATACACCTCCTATCTTTGGTTTTTGAGTCATAGACGGTCTCTTGATAAAGATTTTTAGGCAATTCTATTCAAGGTCCTATTATATTCCTTGATTCTGACTCTGTTCCTCGGTGGAAAGAAGATTCGCCTTGTTTGTCATTTGTAGAAATTTATTTTGTATATCATAGACATTTATCTAAATTTTATTGCCATAGACAAGTTTTTTGTAAAACCTGAGGTGGGCAGAATAAATCTCAATAATTTATTCCGAAGATGAGACAATTTCGAAAGTTAGACGTAGGCATAACTTGTACTTGTTTTGAAGAGGCTGCTATTTAGACATAATAATCGTTTTTGAAATTTTTCACTTTCGCTTTTTTATAGATTTTTTGAAAGTGAAAGCGCACTGTGTAATTTATTAATTTTGTTATTCGATTTGAATTTCCAAAACAATTCTTTCTACCAATTCTGTGTTCAAAGAATTAGTATCATTCGCTCATGTTTAAAAAATAATAACGTTTGCATTTCTTTTGTTATAGATTTGATGAACTAACAAAGGCTGACAGATGGATGGATTTGACCAACAAAGACTACAAATAAAAACTATAATACATTCGAAAAACGAACAGAATGACTACTGGTTGAAAAGTTGAGAAAACCAGAGCGCGCGTTTTTTTTTTAGTTCTGACACCGCACAAGAGATGGCATACAAAATGAAAAGAACGGCAGCTGGTGTTCGAGCTAGTTCTCAAATGAAAGTGGAGGTGGCGTTAGTAGTATTGTTTTTATTTGCTGATGTTGGAAACTGTGTCAGCCACAGCGGAGAGATGTTACTGGCTAACGTTACAAGATTCGCCACTGGTGATCTTTTCTCATTAGTTGGTAAGTATGAAAATTCAGAAAAATTGGTTACGTGCCATGTTATCTTATCAAACTATACGTTAGAATTTACAGACTTTTAAGAAATCCTGTCACGTCTAAAACCTACGTATCATTGGAATTGAAACTATTTTTAAATTTATATCGCATAACTTGTTATTTCAAACAAACCAACGCTTCGGATCCTTTACAGGTCCCGTGGTCACGGTTGACTGAGATGGTAATATTGAGACCTGGCGAAACGTAGCGTCAGTTTATTTGAAAAACAATCACATGCACTTTAGATCCAAAAAATATTTTCGTTTCCTATATTTAGTAATAGCGAAAGCCTAACAGCTCGAATTTTCTATCATTTGATCACCCATGGAACTAGAAAAAATTCACTTTCGTGCAATTATTCATACTATAACGTTCTACTGGTTCTTGAGTAGATAATAACTGTACTAATACCCAGAAATGTGTTACTAAAATCGCAAAATTTTCAAAAAGGGTCAATTGATTTGATAGTATTGGTTTTGGTTTAATTGAGCAGCAAGTATGTTTTTTTTTATAACGTCAAGTGACGAGACGAACAAGTCGTGCACCTGATGGTAAGCTACATGCCTGTCCATAACAGTTACAGTGCCACTCTGAGCTTTAAATTGCAAAGATCTATATAGCACTACCACTGCGTCTGTCGTCCTGAAGCATAAGTTGACAAGTCCCATGTGCCCGTAATTTCACCAGCACCCTTACCCTTACAAAACTGGAACACAGTAATGCTGACATTGCTGCTTAACGGCAGAAATAGGTAAGGTGGCAGTACTACCCTGGACGAACTCTTTCGCAAGGAGATCTACTGCTACTATGTGTGAGGAAAAGAGTAGCTATACCTCTTTAGTACTTTTGTGGCTGTCAAAGTGGTATTTACATAGCTGCCTATGTACATAGTTATATAGTGGTATTTACATAATCTCACAAATCAACACAATTCTAGTTTCTTTGTTATCAATTTATGGAATTTTGGTTGAAATACACCATTGATTTGAAATATAATGTTCCTTTTTTTGTCTTTCAATAAAGAAAAACTCTAAAATTAGTACAATTTCATAATGGTACGCAAATTTCAACTGTCGTTGACTTGACCACAAAACAATGTTTTTGCAGGCAAATAAAGATTTTTACATGTTCTCATGTCAGATTTAATTGAAAAATGATATTGATAACCCCAAAAATTGTGTTACATGGTTATTATACCGCACTTTGCAGGTTCCGACTGTGGCCCGACCCGCTGCATGGAGTTGTCGCATGGCACGGCTCTGGCAGCTATGAGCAGCAGTGACGGCTGCTTATGCCAATGCCGACATGATACGCCAGCGTTTCGAGAGGATCAGAAAATCTGCGTTAATCATATCGAAGGTAGGTATTATACCTCATTAATAGGAGGAATAAAAATAAATATCGACTATGAATTGGGTACTATCTCAATTTTGACAACTTTACAGGATGAAGAAAAAAAATTAAATAAAATTTATTAAACTCTACTAGAGTTTAATCAATATGACGATTTCAAGTTTAATATGCTTAAAATAAAGAATAATTGAGTTTGAATTTACTGTCGTTAAAGTTGAGACTGTAATGTCTGACGTCCATTATGATTAGAAGTTCAAGAATTATACTATTTTACAATGCAAAAAGTAAAGAAGACGCAAAATTATGCATAATTGCATTTAACATTAAAATATCTCCGAGATGAAATGAGACGGCTCTTCGACTACTTAACAATGCAAATGAAGACATTGAAGTACAATAGATATCATTGATAGTTTAGAGGAACATTTGCATAAACCAAGGTCAAACGATCAAGGGTTAGAAAACGGATTGCTAAATTACGGGGCATCAATGTCAAGTCATTATAATTATGAATGAAATTGCAAGTCTTTGGAAACGTAGTTTTGAAAGCAGGACAGAGCTAGAACGGCACATAACTTTTAATAGAGCTCTAGAACTTCTTGTGAAAGAGGCGGTACTTTCCTGGACTGCTACTAACTCATTAGGATTAAAACTGTCTTAAATTCCGTTTATAACAATGTTTTCAAAATTTGGTTCCAAATGATAGCAATAGAATCCCGAGATTTTGCTTAATTTTTAGTTAAAATTTAAGCAAAATTTCGCAAAGATCTTTTTGTTGGTGTTTTTAATGCTTTATAATATTTCAAACACTTTCGCAATAACGTTCTGAGTACCAATCTAACTGCCAGGATTTCTTTACTATATGAGAACAAACTTTTAAGTTTTCTACGTACACCGCCCATATAAATACAAAAGCCATTTTGTGCTACTGAAGATGATATACTGTTTAAAGAATTTAGTTGTTAGTCTGTAGAGTGTAGAACACAGATCCTCACAACAAAAGGTGAGGTCAATGTTGAGTTATTTTGATCTCTATTTACAAAATAACGGTCGATAACGATTCACTATGACATTGTAACACCATTTAAAGACAACTAGAGCTATTACTTCTATTTGCCTGTGAGTCGTCTGTCGTATTAGGATATAAATAATTATAACTGCCGCTTGTGTTTAATAATTAGGACCTCGCTCAAAGAATTACTTCGGTACTTACATCTAATTTTGTATTAACATTCGTTTTATTTTTGTTTTTCAGAATGTCCCATGGCTTCATTTGGCCGTGGTGCGAAGAAGCCGCAGATTCCTTTTGCGTTCCTGCCATTGAAAGGACAAATTATTTACCCATCAAAAGAAATTGTGTTTACAGGTAATAAAAAACTAGAGAATACTAGATTACTAGTAGTAAAAAAATGTAGGATTCCGATACCGGGAATCGACCCCAACCCTCCTGGGTGAGAGCCGGGTATCCTAGCCACTAGACCATATCGGACATGTAATGCTTGCTGAAATTACTTATCTTCTTACTTACCTTCCAAAACACATTTCGGAACAATGAAAAAACGGATTCTTGTTGTTTACCCCTCTAATTTTTAGATGTTGAAGATGCCATATGCGCCGTCACAAGTGCGCAATACTTATCTCATTCTGGATGGGTGACTCTACGTGATCTTCTGGACAACGACGTGCCATTTAGCCTGTATCGAGATGAAGGCAGCACTTTTTTGCAGGTACACTCTTGGCTGTCAAGGCCAGGATAATATTTGTGTCTTAAGAAAAAATAATTTGAAACAACCACTAACCTCAGACGTTAAAAAAAATCAGGGATTGTCGCTTACCTTTTACCCTGATACATAAGTTGAGAAGTCCCATGCGCTTGTAATTTCACCAGCACCCAGTAGCCCCTCAAAACTGGAACGCAGTAATGTTCACATAACTGTTTGGTGGCAGAAATAGGTAAACTCACAGTAGTTCGCTGGACGAACTCTTTCACCAAGAGCTCTACTGCTACGAAACTTAACGTTACAAGGTTGTTTTTATAGAACATTGAGGAGGATTAAAAAGAACATAAGTACACATCGTCGCTACGTTTTATTATTTTTTAATAAAAATTTCATTATTTATAAACTGATTGTATTATAGAGCTTACCATAAAATCCAAACCATCAAATTAGAATGATAACTAAATAAGTAAGGTTGCATGTAAAGAAGAAAATATGTGTGATCTCCACAATTTTACGACGTAAAGGTTGAAAAATAAGTAACTGATTGATATTTCGTTAATGAATATACTCTTTGCGATCCATTACCTTACCCTTTGTCTTTCAAATGGGGATTATTATTTGATCTGCAAAGAAATAAATGATCTATTGTAAATGTGTACTTTTTTAGATAAACATTTTTTTATGTTTCATATACAGGGTGTAATCGTTAAGTGTGCCCAGGCGATTATTCCATAAAAATAAGAGATATCAAAAAGCTTTAACCTGATATCGAAAGTACGTTACCTAATGAGTAAATCGACATCAGTAACTTTTTTTAAATAAAACTGGAAATAGCCTAAATTTTAACATTAAACGTTCCCATACATATAATATGACATTCGTAGAGAGTCTTTAATTGATCTACTTTAAGAGATAACAATAAATTTACACATAACGAACAGCTATAAGTAAAGTAATAAAGCTATCTTTTAATTGAATACAAATGTTGTTAATTATTAATACGAAGATCGAACACTCTGAAAAAATTCCTTCGATCCCGCCGGATTCGAACCGACGTCTTCTAGCACACCGTGCCAGATGCTACATCAACTAAGCGACTTAATGGCATTATCAATTATTTATTCGGTAAAGTGTAAGCTGTCCATAAAAATGAATAAAACTGATCAAATGTATTTTAGTGTTTTAGAATTTTTGGTCGTGGCTTTGTTGTAGAGTGTAAGCGATTGAAATAATTTCGTAATCAAACCTAATTATGCGTAATCGAAGTAATAAGAAAGTTTTCACCTTAAGACTAAAAAGCCAATATAAACTCTCGGAGTGATAGACATCCTCGCTCAAGGTCGAATGGCTAACCATCTCGGGTACACATTGGCTCGTTTTAGTCCCCCGATTAAAATATACTCTTTCATCACATAATGAGGGTGTAACAGCTAGTTTTGTAATACTTGCTGATATTCTAGAATATTTAAATGTTATTCCATAAAATATAGAGTGACAAATGTAGTGGACACACAGCCATGAAATGTTGCACTACAAAAGTACCGCTTTCAAATTGTATGCATACTCGTTTTATTTGAGCTACTATCATATCTTTACAGTTTGGTCTTAAGGGCACATCGTAAAATGTTTATCTGCAAGCCAGATTGACCAGTCTGGCCATACGACACACGTTCACTGTATATGTGTTAATACAGTAAGTGGCTCTTGTGAAGGATCCTTTCGTATATTAAGCTCTCGGATTTACAACAAATAACTACAAAAGTACTACATCAACTGTGAACTGGCAATCGGTACTATCTCAATTTTGACTATATATTTGATGCATATAAATAAAAATACGTAGTTTTTAAATATTTTTATTACCCATGTATGTACGTACACTACGTATTTTTATTTAATAAACCAGATTGTGTATAAATAATTTTTTCTTCATTCTATTAAGTTGTCAAAATTGAGATAGTACCAGTTACCAGTTCACAATGCAGTCTATATGCAGAAATTAAATTAGTACAGAACTCGTGAATGAACTCTAAGAGTGATTACTAAACCTGTTACGATGATACGGATAAAATAATTACCTTTTAAAATACTATGCACACACTCGCAAAACACACAATATTACAAATCCAAAATCACCTAATTTTATATACCTACATAAAGCTAGTAGTTAATAGTAAGCGGTCAAATTCTGCCTCCTAAGATACAAGATCTCCTCGTTGGGAAGGCAGGATAATTTTGCTATTGTAAAACTACAACTTAAGAAAATATGTTAACCTATGTGTTTTGTGAAATAAAAACAATATTCAATGAAGTTTGACCAACCCCAGGTCCTTGCAAAAGAAGTCCGTTATCTACCCAGGATGCTGCGAGAGGCCATTGAAATTAAAAAACATCCTAATTTCAACAGGGAAGATGGTTTCTCCGTACCACCAGTTTGGGATCCAGTATTTCCTCTAATGAAAAATCCCAAACAGACATAAGCCTGCAGTACTAATTAATATGTTCTAGTTTATTCTAATTTCTATTAATAATTAATAATAAATTAAACTTAATAAAAATTCATTCAATAAAATAATTTGTAAAACTTAATGTAGCGTAAATTGGAATGTTTTCTTTGTAAAATTAAAAATAAGGTATTTAATTACTAACTATTGTAACTATAGTGAAAAAATAGGGTGGTTTGCATTAATATTAGACATAACTGGTTGAAGACTGTACCACCTCAGTCAACCGTAACCATGGGACCTGTAAAGGGCCGAAACGTCGGTTTGTTTGAAAAAACAAATATAGGCGATTTAAATCCGAAAAAATAGTTTAATTTCCTATGTGTCACAATCGCGAAAACCTAAGAACTCGATAAAAACAATATTGTTATTTTATAAAATATAAATAATGATCTTATTACATAAAATTTAACTTATTACTTAATTTAACTGGTGACCAAAATCTGGTAGCAACTACTTACTACCGCCAAAGTAGAAACTCTCCGAGAGCACGAAACTTCAGGTCGCGGCGTTCGATAAAATTTTCAATTTTTTACTTGAAAAAAACTCCAGCTAGAGTTTTATTTTCTTTCTTTCTATATTAGACAAATTTAGTGTGCTGTGTGCTGCAGAAGATATGCCCGTGTGAAAATCACTTAGCTTCAAAATCTTGCTAAGTTGTTCAACATGAGTGCCACGAACTTTGACGTGCAGCAACTACACAGGCCAAAGTGACTACAATGATAGCCGACGTCCAACAGAAGACACTGAGAAGAAAAATTGTGCGATATAGGTTTATTTAGAGCCACATAATTATTAATAGCTGCCAAATTTATATATTTGACAGCTATTAATAAATAAAATTTTATTAATAGCTGTCAAATAATTAAGCTCAGTTTTATCATTATACAAACTGGGTACCTTTCTTGGGTTAAAAATGATGTCATGATAACAGGTGAAAGGAATATTCCCGGTGTTAATTGAAGTTTATTTCTAAATGATATTGTTACACGAGGAATACACAATAAGCGAGGCACCACAATAAGCTCTACAAACTTTTTTACTTTTAAAAGCTAGATTTAACGTTAAATACAAAATACGCCGTTGTCTGCCGCGGTATGACGAGGTCGCAGATTCGAGTCAAGCCGGATCGAAGGATTTTTCTCTTTGTATCCGAACTTTGTATTCTAGCTGACGCACTTGTTAATTTTCATAATGTAACTTTAGTAACATTGTCATTTTCAAATTATTTATCTTTATAACAGCACCCACTGGTACAATGTTTACACCGTGTCATTGTCAAGGACGGTTATTGTATCGAAGATGTGTTTATTAAAATACGAATTTTATTGCCCATTTATCAATGACTTACGGGATCATATAAACATTTTGTTAGGGTCGTAAAAGTTTCCAGAGGCAATCTCGATAATGAGAAATTCCGTTGATAAAAATAATACTTTTGAATCGCACACTGTTTGGTACTCGGTTTATAAAAGACCACCCGACATATTGGAAGCGATTACGAAATCTAAAAAAAAATTTCATCCAGAAGTTAATAATTGAACACTAATCTTCTTGAGTATAGTAAGAAAGTGGAGATAGCATATGTACCTAAATATAAAACCTAATAGCTATAAAACATGTCTGTGGTAACTTATCCACGTCAGCTCGAAATGGGATGGCAATTATTTATTCTCAGCTGGCAACATAATTCCACTTCATTTTCTACCAAAAGTTTACAACTTATGTTTATACGTGGTCCAGGATACTCGATGTGATATTTGGCAAATGAGTAACATAGTTATACACGATACAATTTTTATTGATTAAATAAAAATAAAAATATAACACATAATACATATAATACTAATAAAAATCATGCAATTTTTGAATACGAAAATTATATAATGCGGCCAAACCATTCGAATTAACGACTTATAAGGATCAGTTACATTGCATACTTTAATAAAATGAACGTTAGTTTCTTAAAGAACTTTGAATTCTCCTATATATTATTTTCTCTTATCATTATTGATTTACATTATATTTCAACTTATCCAAACACGATATATAAAGTCCAGAACGTAAAAACACAAAAAAAAACATTCTAGAGTGACGATCTCTCCCTCACACTAACTATTTGCTTCCGACTGGGCGCAAGAACAGTCCACCCCTATCAATGCGCGTGTGGTGATGCTATGGTGATGTTCTTGATGAGTTTGGTTGTGTACTCGAAGCGTTGGCCGGATTTCCCGACACGCAGAGCTCAATAGCATCATTGTACGGGCCTTTACCAGCGCTAAGATACCGGCAGTTCTCGAACCCACTGGCATCTGTCGCAGTGAAGGTAACAGGTCTGACGGTATGACTATCGGTCCATGGAAGCTAAGGAGACAGCTTGTGTAGAATATCACCTGTGTGGTCACTGTAACCCGCCCTCCCGTGTCCTTCGAAGCGTGGGCGGTGCGGGCCGCTCTGCCGCTCTGTGGCCGAGAATCGCAAGGGACTCAAATTGCTCAGTGC